CTCAACTACTGAACTGTAAAATTTGGCTATGATACCAACTAAATTGTCACACCCCATCCCAATCTCCCAAGGATGAGACGCGACTAGGTTTTTGATACACCTATTTACGTATATATAATCTAGATTAATAAAACTCTAATAATTCCACAGGTGCAATAACACCACCCATCACCTTAGTCATTAAGTATAATGGTAATACCTGTTTAATAACCTGTACCATATATAACACATATACCATTTTTTTTTCCAGTTTGTGTACATACACACAATTCCACACCCACATAACATAGCTCCTAGAGTATGCTTGTTGAGTCTGTTTACCATTATTAACCCCGCCATAAATACAGCCCAGCAAATAGTTATACAAACACTACCTGGGTGATATCACACTAATGTCGTACAAGACTCAATGGACTGGATATTAGACTGGTTGCACCTTCTTCTTTAGTACCTGAAAAAGAGAACGTATAGGTATGTGAGCTAAACCACGCGCTCAGTAAGTGTACATGCTGTGTATGAAATGTAAATGATAGTAATACACAAAAAAAGTACATACTATGTAGATGCACTTATCAAATAGTAGCATCAATCCAATTCCAAAAGATTCACAAGCTACATCACCACCATACTACCCCTCATCGGGTAATCGATCCCACATGGACTTGTGTCTCTCGAACTTCTCAGGAACACACATAGTGCTAGCACGTCACTGCACACCTAGTGATTAGGCATCAACACCCTTGTCTTAAACAGTACGCCACATTTCACAATACACAATACACAGTACAAAGCATCACTCAATTACATAAGCACGTAGCACATAATCTTGGAGAATTTCTATTAAATTATATCATTTACTATCATCTTATAATAGCATTTTCAAACCATATAAAGATATACACCCACCTCAAATGTACAGATCTACGGTCTTTCGGTCTTATCGGTGGATCATTTCGGTGTTACCGTATCTGTTTCAACACTGACTGTCTCACTCGTTCCACCTAATTCATTTGTAATTAAAATATTAATATATTTATCACATTTAATAGTTAATCATGCACTAATGCATGCAAAAATAATGCACCCCAAAGTGCCTTGGTAATTCCGGTTTCCGCATTATCTACTCACACAGTAGCACTTTTGTTATAGGGATCACATTTTCTCCCCAAATTTCAAAATCACTCACATTAATCATAATTAGGATTAAGTAGGTCAAACACATTGACCAGGGGCCCATTTTCACAGATTTCGGCCCCAAATCCTAAAAACTGTACTTCCAACATTTCATACATTTCTCACCTAATATTATACTCATTTGCATTCGAAATTCACATTATCACATCAAGCATTATTTAAAAATGCTGCATGCAAAATTTCAAGTCATTTGAATTAAAATTCACATATGTGATAATAACATTTAGAAATCAGGGTTTTGACATTACCAGCATCTATTTTCAATTCTAATCGTACGTTTCTTTTAAAACAATTATACTTAAACTCACACATTCACTAAATCATACAAAACAGCCCCCTAACTGCACCCATATACTCTCCATTCCATACCCAAAAATCCTAGTTTCGACTTAGCCTACTCAAAGCATCCTGAGTGTTCGTTTTCCATTTTTTTTCTCACACGCATTGTATGCCTATTTAAAATTTGTGCTTAACAACCCTTAACTTATGTTTAATACACTTAATTTAAAATCAAAAAACATCTATTTTGACATTAAAATAAAACAGCCCATAAAATCAACTAAAACAGCCCATGAAATTAAATTAAAACAACCACTAATTTAAAACAAAACAGCCCACATATATATGCACATACTAAAATTAATTACACACACATGCTTAAAATTAATCCCATATACCTTCCTCTTCTCTCTTTCAGTTGGATCTAAAACACCCACCAACCCTTGATTTTCTCTCTCCCTTTATTCCTTCTTGCTCATGGTTCAAGAACACACACACTCACACACATTTTTTTTCTTTCTCTTTTACTCTCCCACACTCTCAGTTTTCAGGAACCAGAACACACACACACACACACACACACACACACACGTCACACACACACAGCCACCTAGCCTTAGTTATGACTCACCCATTTCATTCTTATACTCATGTAAAGATAACTCCTTAAATTGAGTAATCATGCTTGCCGCCCCCCAAGTTTTTAAGTTATTTCAAAATCGACCCATTAGTATTTTCACACATGAAATTTCTATAAATAGGTCTTACTAATACATCACTAAGGGGTCCACATACCCAATGTATGATCACACACATCATGACTATAAAGGGTTTCCTTAAATTAACCCTTTAATAGTTTCACATAATTGTAATTTAGCCCACAAAATTATGCTAATATCTATGCAATGCATGATTGGATCTCACAAAATATTTCTTCTCATAGTCAATACTAGGTCTCTACAAGAAAACTTGTGCGACAAGTTGTGCCTTGTTCCGTACAATTTCATTTTTTTCATTGTGTTTTCTCAAAAATACCATGGGTTCCACACCTTGTGGCATTTGGATTACAGGTCCAACTACATTGCATTTTGTTTGTGAGTTTAACTATACTTGAATTGCTTCTTTTCATTTTAGCCAATCATTTCTCTGTCAACATTCATCATCAGTTTTTGGTTCAGGCTCCTCACTATCTCTTGAAATATCAAGAGCAATAAAAAATAGAAATATGTCATCCACAACAAATTTATTTTGATCCCATTTTTTCAATTGTGCATATAGTTTATAGATATCTCATCATTCTCAGGTATCTGAGCCACTTCTAGAGGTATTTGGGATTCTTCATGAGTTAACTGAGCCTCTACAGGAGGTAATTATTTTATGGGATAACTCTATTCAGCAGTACAAACTTTTAGTTTGGTATTCTCTTTTGGAGCATTAACTTTTTTATTTACTCTCTTTTGTTCTCTTCTTTTTCTAGGGACAATATCTTTTGTACCGACATGTCTACCATGCTTCAGGCATGCCTTAGACTCATTTGTAGCTATGCGGGCTTGTCCTACTGGGACATCAATTCTTGCTGCTTGTCATTTTTTGATGAATCATTTCTTCTCAAGATATAACAATGGGCTTTCCAAGCATAGGAAAATTTTGCAATGTAATAACTTGGATAAATCCAAGGTCATCTTCTCAAGGAACATATAGAATTTTGCTAGTGACGTGTGTGCAAATGAAAATAACAATCTTTTGACTTGTGGAAGAGATGAGAAATGAAATTCTAATGTATTGTAATCAATAGAAAAATAATTGGCTGATCCTCAGGAATCAACTTACCATAACCAAACAATTTGACTCTCCATTTTAACTCATCCGAAGTTGTATTCAAATGTGCTGGAATGGATAATATTCAACAAAAACCAAGTTTTACAGTATTTTAGCTTTAAAGATATGAAGTAAAAGCTAGAATGATAAGCATTTAGATTGTGTAAATGATTCTTAAGAAATACTCATGCTTGATTAACCGTCGATGATAAATCAAAGTAGTCACTTAACAACTAATATCAAAATTGAAATTTTCCTTCTACAAAACATTGGATCGATTAGAAACAATTAGAGAATCACTATGCTTGATTATGGATGAGAATCATCTCTTAGATCGTGCCGATACTTAATCAAAATAAAACCCATCAAAGCAAAATCAACATAAAGCATCATGTAAAAGTAATGAAAATGGACAACAAAATGGGAAGAAGTAAACTCCAAAAGATTAGCTTCAAAATATGAAGTTCAAATATAAAAATAAACCATACAAGAAGAGCTTTGAAAATGAAATGGAATTCCTCCCAGTTGTCTTCTCTGAACCCCTGGTAAATCTCTTACACTGTAAACTTAAAACAAAAACTCCAATTTAACTCCAAAAAATCTCAATTAAAGCAAAGGCTAAATAAAGGGAAGAAGAAGCTCCCTTGTGTGTGAGTGTATATATATATATATATCCCCCATTCCCTTCTTTTCATTGGACATAAAGTGTGGCATGATTGATGGGTGGATTACCGAAGAAATTTCCTCCGACTCATCCAATGGATGGTCATCTCAAAATGTGGGAGGTTGTTTCCACCAATAGGAATAAACCTCATGGGGATTAGTTGCCTCCCATGAGTGTAGAAGTGACATAGTTGACACCACGGACCAATGGAAACCCAAGAAAGCTATTCTCTCTATAGTCAACTTAAGACCAACCAGTTGAAATTGTCTGATGAACCGGTTGAACAGCCCTGATGAATCGGTTGAAGATTTGTTATCAATCGGTTGAAGTATCCTCAATACTTTTGCCTTTTTGAAACTTCTCAGAAAAACCGGTTGAAAATTGGTTTTCAACCTTTTGGTATGCTCAGAGTATCTCACCTATTTCTAGTATCCTCTGATCAACTAGTTGAATTTATTTTCCAACTGGTTGAAGGTCTATTTTTACTCTGATCAACCGGTTGAAGTTGAATCAATTGAACTGGGATTTCCTTTATTCTTTCTGATCAATTTCATATTGTATCTCCAATTCTTCCTTAACTTCGTCTAATCCCTTTCTCATTGCTTTGCATACACCCACATTCACAAATACAACTTTAATCAATTTACAACCCAATTTCGAGAGGAATAAACATGAATTGATAGATAAAATGAATGGCTTAAGTTCTATAATGCTAAACATATCCCTTAACGTAAGTTTTGGTAGTACCCAACAAACCAGAAATAAAAAGTGTGCATTCCATTCATTTGCTTATTCATGCACAACTAGATTTATAACACATTTATCACACAATCAATCAAAACATAACTGACAATTTTAAAACACAACATACAACAAAAGATGATTGATATATATATATATATATATATATATATATATATATATATACCAAAGTTATCAAAATATAACAACTCTAGGACACAAACAAAATTTTACTATCCTAAGTCATTGCATAACCAATTTAGACAAATCCTAAAACAAAGAAACTAGCAAATCGTAACATCATCTACTCAGAGTATCCATCGTCATCCTTATCAAACTCAGACTCGACATGTTCCTCTCTACTCTCCATCTCATGTACTGGATCACGAGGCTTAGTCATAGATACAAATGGTGGCTCAGATGCTGAAGTAGGTGGAACAGGCATTGAAGAAGTAACACCTGCAAAAGTCAATGATGGTAGGACTAACAATGACTCTCTTGGCAATAGTGTTGTAAATAATCTCATCTGCATCATCAAAGACAACTCCAAATCCCTAGCCATCTGCACTTGAGTTCCTTTCATCTCCTAAATGTCAGACTCCAAGCTATTTATCCTATGCTCTAGGCTCCCTATCCTCTAAAGCATAGTATTTCTCAAAATTGATGAAATAGGAATGGAGCTAGTATCAACAGGTGTAGTGGTAGGGCCGATATGTGCAGAAGGAGAAATACTAGGCCTATCTCTAGTAGCTATAGACATGATGTCACTCTTACTCTCTAACCAACTACTAATGGGCCCTCTCAAGAGAAGTCAAATAGTCTCTCAGATATCCCGTTACCCCCGCAACCACACAAAAATGAGTAATCATATTAGCAAATGACATATTTTCCCTAGGTTTGCTCTCCAAAATATAATCCTTGATTACCCCCCACATAAACAACACCATATCCATCCTTTTCCCATGCATCACCTCATATAGCAAAATAATCTTTGAGATAGACAACCTCTTATCATACCCCTTCAAAAATACATTATAGTGCTAAGATTTTACTCAAGGTCTTATACTCTCTAGTCAAACTCTTTACACTAAACTGCCCATCAAATTGATTTGGCTCCTTATCCATCAATCTTACATATTCTGGCAAACACTTAGCCTTAAAACTCCGTATTCCAAGTAATTGGCTATCGAATTTGGGGTTACCTTTATCAGCTTACCATGTATTGTGGTCCTTAATATCATAAGATCTGTGTCTACCTCCTTCAACCTCATATAAAAATTTCGACATAACTCTAAAATATAACTAGGCACTGACTCGAAGAAAAATTTCAAACCTAAATCCACTATCTGTTTCACAGCCACAGACTCACCTATACTCTTACGATCAACCATTTGCTCGCAAGTGGCAGACTTCCCATCCATGATCGTCTCGTACTCCACTCTTAGTTTCTTTCACCTCAAATTCATGAGACTCATCATCCCCACCACTATAACCCTCTGCAGTAGCTTTTCCCTTTCCCTTTTCCTTTCTTGATGCTCTCGGCTTTGAAGTTGAAGATGAAACTCTGAGGGTTTTGGCCATGCCCACCAAAACCATACCTATCATCATAATAAATATAACATAACCAAAACCATGAAAATAGCTCCTCAGACAAACCCCTAGATGAATATCTCAAAGATTTTCTTGAAGCCATTTGATGGAACCTTAGGGTTTGGAAGCTTAGAAATTTTTGGTGGAGATGAGAGGGAAAAGATAGATGGAAGAACTAAGGCTCTTGGGATGGTGGGTTATAGCTTTCAAAAATATGAGGAGAGTTTGACAGAGTGGGTTTAGATAAAATGGAAAGATTGAGCCAAAAAACCGTCTGTCTCCCTTTGAAAAGATCGAAACCTGACCTCACTTCAACTGGTTGATCAACAGTGCTTCAACCGGTTGAACCACTTTTTTCCTCTGATGAACCGGTTCAAGTTCAACATGTTGGTTCTCTCATTTTTTCATTTTCTTATTGATTTGAACAATCCTAATACTTTCCCAAACCTATTTACATGCCTAAGACTCTTATTTACCTAATTACACACAACATAGAAGTTGAAACACACAAAACATGTATAAAAATTGCACAACATTCCAATTCAAAATGCATTCCAATTAAAAACACTAAATGATATCTAAAGCCACTTTCTTTGGGTACACAATTACATTTAGCAAGTGCAACAAGCCTTTAAACCCCTAGGTCACCCATAGTGGACGAGTTGTGTCTTGTGAAGGTTTTTAGAGAAGATACCTACAAACTTTCATCTACATCCCAATTTAGACTATATTATAATATTCTAACTAGCAATGAGGTATATTAACCATTCTTCCACCCACTTTAAGGTATTTCTATACTATTACATCATAGATTTAAATGCTATGTAAAAGTATTCAGATACACATTTCCCTAAGAGACTCGTGTATGTGTGAAATGATAATGTAATTTAAGAAATTTATCAAATAAAACCCACATCTATATTAGCTATCCAAATTAGCTTTGATGGAAATCTCACCACAAATTTTTCTCTCAAAACATACAACACTCTGATTAATCTGATGTTCCATTCATTCTCTATATGTGAGACGAAAACTTGTAATTCAAAGCAAAGTATAACTCAAATATCATTCAACAATGAAAGACAATCATGGAATTGAAACAACCTTGACATAATCTCATGAACGGAATGCTAGGGAAAATGAAATTAGTGCAGTTGACCTATCTCTAGTTTTGAACATACACTTGCCATAATTTATAAGATCAAATAGGACTTTAACTGGTTGTAACGTGGCCTCGGGTGAAAATTGAACTAAAGAAATGAAGGGATATAGGAATTCAAAAAGAAGTTATCCCGAGAATATGTCTTTACTAACCATATCTCCTCTTTTGAAATTAATTGGTTTTTTTCATTTCTAGTTCTTTCGCTTTTTCATTTCTATCTTTTTCTTTTCTCTTTTTTTTCTTCTCTTTTTCACCTCCTTTATTTCTTTTTGTTTTCTTTGCTTTGCTTTCCATAAATATCAAAAATATGCTCAAATATTCATCATCCCTTTTTGTTCCATTCTTCTTTCCTTTTATTTTGTTTCCTTTTCTTTCAACCACAATATTTTTTTAACAATATGACACTATTAATCCCGGGACAACCAAGGTAAGATAAACGTAAATTATACTTGACTTGGTTAAACATGTGGCTAAAGAAATCAAATTTATATTCAAGCTCAATTAGGGCTTCTAGGGATGATATTAAGAAAGAACAGACTAAGATTCAAATTAATTCACAAATGACTTAAGATCATTTCTTGAAAATACACGGCAAGGTACCCCTTGCATTGAGATATAATCAACTAATTACCCTATTCACACTAATCAAAACAAAAATAATGAGAGTATTGAAAGAAATTGAATTTGAAAGAACAATCTTTTAATTAAGTGTATTTCAACCCTCCAGTAAAGAATGACACAAAAGAACACAAGGGTAATGCATTCATCTCCACTATGTATGTCAAGCATTTGAAGATGAAAATATTATACAATAAATTACAAAAATTAGTATTCTCATGGTGCAAATAGGGTAAGTTTCGAATGAAAACACATATATGATATTTAAACATAGAACAGATTCTTACAATGTGTTAGCACACAAATAACTCAAGATTCAAGTCAAATAATTATCAATCTCATGCTAATTAAAAGGGAATAATACACTCCAAGTTTGATGTTTTGTTTTATTTTCTCATCTTTTTCATTTTTTTTCTCAATTTTTTTTCAAAATTTCTCATTTTAGCATACAACCTGGTGGTGTCATATAGTCATGGTGCACCCTTATCCCCAACTTAAATTATGCATTGTCCTCAATGCAAAATAATTATGCATTGTCCTCAATGCAAAATAATTATGCAATGAGAAAATGAAGACAATAAGGGTAAGACAACACCTGACACTATTTCCATAAAGAAAAACCACAAGCTACAAAACAAAAAAAAACTATTAAAAAAAAAGAAATACGTACAATGAAATAAACTGCACATCAAATAGAAAAAAAATAAAGACCACCACTGTACACTATTATTATCAAAAGAAACTACTCAGCATCAAGATCCTGATACACAGGATCAACCAATTATTCTACAATCTCCTCAGATGAAAAATCTTCCAAAAATGACTTAAGCCGCTGTCAATTGACTTTAAAAGTTTGACCATTCTTAGGATTTTGAATGTCCATAGCCCTGTTAGGATAGACAACATAGACTGTATAGGGGCCAGTCTATCGCAAACACAACTTACCTAGGAAGATGAGAAGACGGGAATTGTATAACAATACTTTTTGACCTAGCTCAAAGATTTTTCTTACTATTGATTTATCATGAAAAATTTATCCTTTTCTTTATAAATTCTAGTACTGTTATATGCATCTTGATGTATTTCCTCTAATTCATTCAATTGCAATTTCGTATGCTCTCCAGATGGACCCAAACTATAATTCATTTACTTATGACCAAATATGCTCGATTTTCAATCTCCACTGGCAAATGACAGGCCTTGTCGTATATCAGCCTATAGGGAGACATACCTAAGCGAATTTTGTATATTGTACTATAGGCCCATAAAACATCAATCAATCAAATTGACCAATCCTTACGGTTAGAGTCAATATATGCTTAATTTTCCTATTGACCAATTTAACCTTGTCGTTTGTCTGTGTGGGTGATAAGCAGTAGACGCTATGTGTGATACCGTATTTGTGCATCAAAATCCCAAATGGTCTATTGCAAAAATGTGAAGCACCATCACTAAAATATTTTTCTTAAAAAATTTAATAACAACTTTATGATCATTTGTCCTAGCTGGTATGACCTCTACCCACCTAGACACGTAATTAACTGCCAGTAAAATATATAAATAACCAAAAGATGAGGAAAAATGACCCATGAAAACAAAACCCCAACAATCAAAGATCTCGATCACCAGAATGGGAGTAAGGGGCATTATATTCCGCCGAGTCACACCACCCAACCTTTGACACCAGTCATAGCTCTTGCAGAATTGGAAACAATCTTTATAGAATCCACACTGTATATTTGATAAGAAATGACCCCCACATTCCTCCAAATGGCAGAAAGAAATGACATCATGCTGCTTGCCATCGGGTACGCATCTTCTCATAACCAAGTCAGCGCAACATTTAAATAAATAAGGGTCATCAAAAAAAAAAATTTCACTTCCACTAAAAAATTTCTTTTATTTTGTGGACTCTAATGAGGTGGTATTTGTTTTGTAACAAGAAAACTAACAATGTCAGCATACCGAGGACAAGATACAGTAACAGAAAATAAATACTAATGGAGAAATATATCCTAAATGGGCAAATGCTCATGCGTGTCCTAAAACACAAGTCAAGATAAATGATCTCTACCACATTCTCAACTCCTTTCTTATCTTTAATGATTAGATAAAATTCTTATAGGAGGAAAATTCGCCTAATGAGTCTCAGTTTTGTTTCCTACATAGACAACAAATACTTCACAACAAAATGATCAGTATAGACAACAATAGGTGAACCAATTATATAAGATATAAATTTATCAAGTGCAAAGACAACAATTCCTTTTTTGTAGTAGTGTAATTCATTTGTGCCGAATTTAGGGTTTTGCTAGAATAGTAAATAACACGCAGTTTCTTACCTTGGTTTTGGCCTAATACAGCTTCCATTGCATAGTTACTTGCGTCAAACATAAGCTCAAATGGGAGGACCCAATTTGGTGGTTGTATGATTAGAGCTAAAATCAACATATTTTCCATTTTTTGAAAAATGACCTTAAAGTCAGGTGACCACACAAATTGAGCTTCTTCTGTCAAATGATTACATAAAGGCTGAGATATGACACTAAAACCCTTTATGAATCTCCTGTAGAATTTTTCATGATCAAGAAGTGAATGCACATCCTTTACCTTTTTCGAGGTAGGTAGATTGAAAATTAATTGAACCTTTGCTTTGTCGACCTCTATCCCTTTTACAGAAACAATATGATCAAAAGCAATTCCTTTAGTTACCATAAAATGATATTTTCCTCACTCAGACATTTTCCAAATTCTCCAAACAATCTTCAAATGGATCTCCAAACAACTAAAAACCATCCATAAATACCTCCATAATATTCTCCAAAATATCTTTAAAAATTCCCACCATGCAGCTTTGAAACATTCATGGGGCATTACACAGGCCAAATAGCATAAGTCTATAAGCAAAAGTTCGGAAGGGGTAGGTGAAAGTAGTATTCTCCTGATTTTCCAAAGCATCTTCAATTGATTGTAACCTGAATATCTGTCCAAGAAGCAATTATGTAGAATAAGAGTCCTTCCAAGGAAATGAATATCCTTTAAGTTGAAAGTCTTCCACGAGTTTTCATCCATAACTCCTTTATTAGCCAAAAAATCAGTCACCATATTCCCTTCTTGATTAAAATAACTAACCACAATGTTCTCTTTTTAATGAAAATCCCTAATTTTTGGCCAAAAAGACCTAATTTTTTCCAATTCTCACACTTTACTT